TCGAATTTTAATTAAATCCTAAATTAGAGTCCAACTCTAATTTAAATTGAATCAATATTTTAAATTAGGATAACACTCCTAAATAAAATAAAATTCAATTGGGGTCAAAGTTTAATATTTAAGTCAAAATCCAATTTTAACGAAAATATAAAATGTCGTCAATTTTAAATAAAATTTTAATTTGGGTCAAATTAAAATAATAGGTCAAACCCATTAAAACACAATTTAAAACCATTTTAAAATACAAATTCAAAATAATTTTGAGATTTGCAAATTTGACCCATTTACAAATTATCAATAGGGCCCTCGAGATTTGAAATTTGCATAACAGCCCTTTATTCAAAATTTGCACAAAACGCCTTATTGAAATTGCAAGGAGGAGCCCCTGATTTCTCAAATCATAAGAAGAAGAACCCCGCCTCTTATTATTTAAAATTTGACCCCTGAAATCGAAATTGCAGATAGGGACGTCAAATAACTCAAATTACTCTTGAAGCCCCCGTCCCCAATTCGAAACCTGAAAAACCCTAACCAAATTTTATTTTTTCTTTCGTCTCTCTTGGCTGGCGGCGCCGGTAATGGCGCTGCCCCAATAGCCCCTGCGGCGGAGGCCGCTGCAGTCCAACAACGGCGGCTTCCTGCTGCCTGCAGCAAGCAGCAGCATGCAAAAATAGCAGCAGCGGCGCTCGCTGCTACCGAAGCGGCGAGCGCCGCTTTCGCAGTGCGCGGCAGCACCGTGCTGCCGTGCGCCCAGCTGTACCGACGGCAATAATTGCCGCCGGCTCCACCTCTTCCCCGCCATTGTTACAAAAACGGCAGAAACCAAAAAAAAAAAAGCAAAACGATCCAATATTTTTTTTTAATTAATCCAAAAATCAAATTTTCAAATTGCTAGAAAACAAGAAAAATATGTACAATCAACATTTGATTATTCAATCATGCAAATCAATTCCTAACAAACACGAACCTGGCTCTGATACCACTGTTGGGAATCGACTTATACATGCACAGCGAAATTTAAAATAATTTTCGATTCCCACCAAGAATCGCCTTTGTGTTTAGATAGAAATTGTGATAAGGATTGTACATTTGAAGAATTCTGCAATTCTTTTACTTTTCTTTTCGTTCCATCAACCTTGATTCGCCACCATAACTGCCCAATTGTCCAGCCTCCAACGGTGTTCCACACAGAGAATAAGATTGCAGCTTTTAGGGTTTTCTCTTGTGTTAGCAAGAATAATAAAAATCATATGAACCTCAAACCCTAGCTATATATTTATATAAACCCAAACGGGCTCGGCCCGGTCCGGTCCAATATTTAATTAATCCAATTAATTAAACCCGGTCAGTGAATTAATTAATCCAATTAATTAATTCGGGAATATGAATAACAAATTCAGTTAATTAATTTATCCAACGATTGTTAAATTAACCAATTGGCAATTAGCAATCTTCCAATTCTCTTTTGTGTGCGATTCATTAGGTTCCCGACCACGATACCCAACGACGTGAAATATTATTTTGATCTAATCAAAATTGATAAATTAAAACACCCTTTTAATTTATCGTCAATTCACACTCGCCGTCCCTGATTGACATCTAGCAATGTGTCAGGGCAATACATGTGACGGAAAATGTCACGTGGTATGACAAAATCAAATTCGTTCGTTTACCGTGAAACTATAATCCCTTCGTCAATATGATCCGATCAATTACAAGATATGGAATTGTGTCAATCTTGATCATCGATCATATCTTTCATTCCACTATTAAGTCAATATAAGTCGAAAACTTCTTTTCGACTTATGAGTACACCTTGGCCAAGAATTTCATCATCGACTTAATTGAATGAAACGCAGATCATAATCTCCTACTATCTAAGAGTGACGAATCCTTTATTGATCAATCACAACCTTCATACGATTCTTGACGTACCCGAACGACCCGAACGATGTCGTATTAGCAGCCCTTTTCAGAGCAACATCCAATATCGTCAAAGTATGACACGCCTCATATAAGGTACCATGACGACCTCAAGTCAAAGGACCAATTCCACTACCGAACGTTAGAGATTAACCACTGACACTCAGATAGTTATCCATGTGGAATCTGTCGACGGGTCTCCAATGTTTTTGTTCTATAACAAAACATACACGTGTTCATTTAAGTGTCACCACACTTTAACTTGTGAGATCAGCTACTTATTTCACAAGTAAGAAATGCCACACGTGATGGTCTATCCGTAATAACGATATCCGTATCTCGTTATTACTTACGATCACGGATGATTTAAGATTCAATCAGATGTAATTTGCATCTCACAATCACAATTCCTTGTGGATAACAAATTACAAATATTTGAATCTACGGATTCTATTATTTATTTAATTGTCTATTAATTAAATAATAGATCTGTCATTTAATTGTATTAAATTTTATATAAAAGTATTTATGTCCAAAGTTGATTGGACTTAGTGCATAATACTTTCAGTATATTCGTTGTGGGCATAACTTGGATACTCAATCATTTTCTCCAACTTTTCTTTGTAGCACTTGAATTTTCATTAACATATTCAATTTTATTTATTGTTTATCAATGATGTGTCAACAACATCTGACTACAAACGAAAAGAAAAACAACGACAATGAGAAGATAATCATCAATCTGCAACCCCCACTTATTCGTAATGAGTCCCGCCACACCACCACCACCCATCTTTTCGTCGTCTTGATAATATTCCTCACCCTTTGCGCAAGAAATAAAACAGCTAGGAGATGCCCTTAGCTTTTACAATTGCGAGACTACTTTTGGAAGATAAATGCTATAAAAATTGTAAGCTCGATAGAGCTAAATGCTATGAAAAAATGGTGGATTGAGGACATATGGACAGAGAATGTCTATACCAAGGGGCGGATCCATTAAGGGTTGAACAGGGTCGGTCGCTCTCACTGAATTTCCGAAAACCTTCGAATGGGGTTTTTTTAATTTATAATTTCGGATTTTTTTTTTATCTCTTTCCCAATTTATTTCAGCCCATTTTCTGTCTCGCTCTCACTAAATTATAATTCTGGATCTGCCCCGATAACAGTTTCCCTTTCATGCCTAGTAACATTTCTACCGACCATGTAATGCAACATGCCTAAAAAGGCACTCGAAGCACTGTTATGTGTCCTAATATTAATGTGTCACCTGTCCCCCCATTACTTGATATTTATTCTGAAAGTAGTCATGGCTAAAATCATTACACTTGAAATAAATCAAGGGTAGTATCTCCACGTAGCTTCAACCACCGCACTAAACACTAATACAATACCTCAAATTTCAACCTTTCACATTTACACCATGGCCTATAAATCTTTGTACAACTCGAATGTCTTTAAGTGACTAGTAAAAAAAGCAGTCCATTTTAAGTGTAGCAAAAAATATGGCATCCCAGCTGAAGTTTGCATTTCCTTTTGTTACTTTCTTCCTTGTGTATTTGGTGGGGTGGGCAAATGCAGCCGGAGAATGTGGTCGCACGCCAATAAATGCTGCGGCGACTAGCCTGAGCCCGTGCCTTGGTGCAGCTTCCAATGTTAGGGCAAGAGTGACTCCGGCATGTTGCACCAAAGTTAATGCATTGATAAAGAGTGCTCCGAGGTGCCTTTGCGCCGTCCTCCTATCGCCTCTTGCAAAAAAGGCTGGTATCAAACCAGCAATAGCCATCACTATTCCGAAGAGATGCAACATCAAAAATCGACCTGCTGGAAAGAAATGTGGTCGTAAGTATTTGGTTTTATTTAGTTTAACGTGTTATTAAATATCTACTCAAATTTATGAATAAAATATTGTAGGAATAACTACTTGTACTTTATGCATTGCAGGTTATACCGTCCCATGAATTTGATGCTCGAATGGACTTGGGATACGATACATAATAACGGTTTTCTATGTAGGTTCCTACAGATGTTTTACATATCCCTCACATGAAGCGGGTCTCACGCGAGACCCATCTCATTAAAAAAATGACCCCAAAATTCCCCACCCCACCCATATTTTTGTGTATTTTGCAGGAGTTCTGTAGAACCCCTACCTGATTCCCCAGCATGACTCAATTCTTTTTGTCTCAACAAAGACAATTCAAAGGCAAATATAATCTAACATCATTATGTGGATCTCGATTTCGAGGTTCGAGCTATCTAGAATTAAGTTTTGAAGTTAGTCACACAAGTATTCTTTACCGACTTACTGGTAAAAAAAATTATTAATTGTTAAAAAAAAAAAAGAAAAAAAAATGGAGGAGAGAGAGAGAGAGAGAGAGATTTACAAGGTCAATTAATCACAAGTAGGTCTGGATGCGATGTGGTTTAAGTCGGTTTCAACTCCAACTCGAAACCAGAATAAAATTTGTTGAGTTGGATGAATTTCAATCAAAATCAACTCACTTTAACTCTTAAAGATTCAGTTAGTCAGTTTAGACTTTAGTCCAAATTGAATTTAAAAATAAAAACTAAAAAATTGTCCGAGCTTTGGGCGTACTTAGATTACAAGAATTTAAATAATTTTATATTATAAGAACTATTGACTAACTAATAAAATCAGATTAATAGAAATGGATCAACAGAAAACTTAAAAATTGTATTGCTTTTTTATACATTATGTAACCTGACCATTCGAGTAAGGAAAAAAACTAAATATAACATAATGAGCTTGTGAAATGAAATTTCTAATGCTATTGTTTACAGACAGCATCACAAATTGGAGGAAATTGAGATGTAGTTCAATTGGGTTGGATTTGTTCGGTTATCGATTTGAAAAGTTTAAGTCATGACTGAATCAATCCACCATAATTTTGTTTAAAAGAAAATTAAACCAAACAAAAATCAAGTCGATTGGATTTGATTGGCTTGATCGATTTTTCGAGATTTTTGCCCTGACCTAATCGCAAGGCAATGAACTTAGGAATTAGAATCGTGAAATTGTCGTGAAAAATACAAAAACAAAAATCTCCACTATAAGTCAAGAAATGAGCTGCAGAAACAAATTATTTCATTATTCGAGATCGAGTTAAAGGCATACATCTTCTGAGCCCAATTACAGGCCACTGAACTGTCCAGTTATTTATCAAGGTACTTTCGTGCCTTCTAATGTTGGTACCATAGCCTATAGAGCCCAAATTAGGGGTGTTACTATATCGAAAATAGCACAAGTCAATTGTTTTTAAAAAGTTTGCTCGACTCGTCCTACCAACTCGACTTTTAACATGGCGAGCCGAGCAATTCACTAGCCACTTTATTTTTTTATTTGTTAAATTGAAATGAAATTCATTATTTTTATTTCGTAATGCATACAGTAGTTTGAAAAATGAAAAAAACTAAATTTTGTAAACATTTGTGGATAAAATACAGTTGAATTTGTAAAAACTCTACTTTATTTGGATTGGGGACCCGTTTCAAGATATTTAGATGGAGTTAAATTGTATACAAATTAGTATTTCGTATACAATTTCTGTTAAAAAATTTAAATAACTACATTTTAAATGACAAATATATTCATCATCACCATTGCAAGAAATTAAACCTAGCGGAACGTCACCTTCTGCATCACATTGGCATACACGTGTTCTTCTACTCGATTACGTGTTAAAACTCAATCCGAAATATAATTTTCCATTATGTCACAGACTATACTGAACAATATCGAGTACTGATACCTTATGTATTCCACCATTGAAGTAAATTAACAAAGCCGGCCCCACTAATGGATAATCTCATGCAGGGGCTCCAAGCAAACGATAATCATACATTTGCAACTAAAAAAAAAAAAAAAACAAACAAACAAACAAAGGGTTAAATTTGTATAGCTACAATCTGATTATGACTTAACAATTCTATAATTCTTTCTTATACCGAGACATGATGTTTTGAAAGTAAAGTTCAAATTTTTTTGAAGTAACTCCAAGCAAAGTCTTACTCTGACGGAGATCGAACGCTATAGCTATAATTAAAATAATAGGTAAACGAATTTAAATATTTTGAAATGGTTTTTCATGGCGTCACAAACTTGAAATAACGGATAATCTTCATTCTTAGACTGCACAAAGGCTAAATAAATATTTAATGACGAGAGTAAAGCAAAATTTAAGTTGGTATATCGAATTTGACGTTGCACGAAACAAGAAAATGCATTTAAAAGATTATAGAACAATGTGCATAGAGTGCAATCATCACCACTCAAAACAATGACTTTTTGAACTTCTTAAAAACAATGCAATTATCTCGTTTTTACAACGAATCTATGTCCCAGAGTATTGTACTGTCATTGAACATTTATGTTTAACCAATGAAAATGAACATTATCCATAATGTTTTGCGGAACATAAGGAAATTTTGGTGAAACTAGCGTTTATGTAACCTTATTTTCAATTTTGCCCTATCAAGTTTATCCAATCAAACGATCAATACATATTAACACTAGACAATATTATTGACTAAAAATACTGAACATAACAACATTCAAAAGCTTCACCCGAATGAAAGCCAAAAGTCAATGGTTGTAGATGTCAAATACAATATTATTGTTTATGATTCAATGATAAGAAGAAATTCTGAATATTTTATTCATTATATTCTTGTACAGACCTGCTATATGTTAATCGTGAAAAAAATCGTGGGCCCCCTTCTTGTGAGGGGACAACCTTGGTGTACAAATAGACTAATCCACTCTTGTAAATATGTGCCTTCTCTTTCATTTTACCATGAGAATGAAGTAATTTTCTATTTTTGTATGATCTTTAAGGATATCCAAAAAGTCTGAGGACTTGTTGTGCAAATAATTGTGGTAAATTCAGAAAGAATAAAGGCACCTGGTGTGCAGGACCAAAGATTAAAAAGACTGGAGGCTTGATTGGGCTTCATTTGTAATAATGAGAAGAAGGGAAATTGCACTTTATCGTGCGTTAGGGACCTGCGACCTTGGCTGTATTCCCTGCAGGTCTCGCCAAGTCACGGCCCAGGGACCCGCAACTCTGTCTCCGGCCCGGTTCAGAAATTGTGACATATAGCCATTATTTAATCTTCATTTCCTAAAAAATCTTTTTTTTTTCGAACTCATTTTTCAACCATAAATATATCAATATATTAATTTTGCTTTATACTTTTTAACTACACATTCTTCAAAAATCACTATTACAAAATTCATTCTTCTAAAAAATAGGGCTCTGACAAAACCATATTTTAAAATCGTGAGTAATTTTGGAATTTTCAGCGATAAGAGTTTCGAGGTTACAGAAGAGGTTAAGGGAATTTCATAGCATTATACATCAAATTCTTGAGAACAAAATTAGAAGAGATCTTTGCAAGGTTAGGATTATTATTATTATTATTTTCAAGAGGACGAAAGCGTGCCATCATTTTCGAGATTCAAGATTAAGGGTTGAACGCATCTTTTCTTCCAAATTATTCGATTTATGTATGTTCATTATCTATGTTGTAGTTTTGTGTTCAAAACATCACAGGCCAACCTTTTTGTTCTTAGAATTTTGATGAAACCTTGATAATTATTAATCTTCAATCAAATAAATTGCTCGTCTAATTTAAATTCTTGTTGGTTTACTGTTTGTTGTTAGAATATTTTGTTATCCTATTATTTGACCAATTTAAAGATTATTTTTGAAATTTATGATTATAACGAGAGGTAAATCATGTTTCTAGTTCAAATAATAAAGAACACTAGGTCATTCAGGATATAACGATATTCCAGTGCTCATTACAATATGTGTATTACGATATTTTATATTCATATCCTTCATAAAGATATATAGATGATCATGGATAAAAAAAATTGAACTAATATATCTCGAAAGAGAAAATTAACACATAACGAATGCCGATTATCACCATAAACAAAAGAAATTAATAAATGGATATTCCAGTGCTCATTACAATATGTGTATTATGATATTTTATATTCATATCCTTCATAAAGATATATAGTTGATCATGGATAAAAAAAATCAACTAATATATCTCGAAAGAGAAAATTAACACATAACGAATGCCGATTATCACCATAAACAAAAGAAATTAATAAATGATAATTGAGGATTAATTAACAATGGTGAATTCGAGATCCTAGTGCCTCGCGTGATTTGATTAAATTTCAAGATTTTTATTTTTCAATAGATAATTAGACATACTTAAAAATCAAACTCAAATTATTAATAGTGTGTTTCTTGATTAAAGCTGGTTTTACTTGAAATTTATTAGTAGGTAATCAATCATCTTGGGTCCAAAAATCTAGATATTCATCATTTTATTACTTGTGAATATCACTTGCTAAATAAAATCAACATCATCTAGGATCGATATCGCAATCAATGGCTGAGGAGAGAAGAAATTAAAAACATCTAACTCACAAGCGAAAGAGAGGGTAGAAAGTAATATATTCTTTATATAAAAGAAAGGTGGTGTTATAATGAAAATGGTTTGAACAACAGTGTTACAAATCGCCAACTACTAAATTATTAACATTCGAGTCAAATTCTTTGTAAATATCTAAAACTTTTTCCCACATAAGCGCTCAAATATCCACTTTTATCTTTGTTACCTTTTCTAAAAATAATTTGAAAGAGTCGAATCGATAGCTAAAATTACTGGTCTTAGAATCAGAAATAAATAGGCTTATTCTTTATTCTCTTGAATTAGAATTTCAATCAATCAAATGCAATTTGTTGTTTATTTGACAAATTCGAGAATCCAAATTTTGTTATCATATTGTAAAGAAAAAACACTCAAATCACCAACAAAAAAGTAAATAAATAATAAATTCATTAAAGATTGTGTTGATGAAGTCATTCATACATTCTCTTATCTAGTCACATCCTTCGATGCGCTAACAATAATATACCATTGATCTAAAACATTGTGACTTGGGTTATTCCCACTTGACTTGAACAA